TAAAAAAAAGATTAAAAATTTAAAAAAGTGCTTTTTATTCAAAAATATCGCTTTTTTCCTAATTCCTAAAATTCCTAAAAAAATCAAAGATTTTTGAAAAATATTGAAAATCCAATAAAAAATAAAATCGAAAAGAAAACTTTAAAAGATTATAGGAATTTGACAAAAAAATTTGAAATTTAAAATTTTTTTAAAGATTTACGAAAATTTGAATAAAATGCTTTAAAAAATTATAAAAAAGGAAAAAAATATAAAGAAAAAATGAGAAAATAAGAAACAAACGCTTTTGCGCGTTTAAAAATTAAAATGAAATAATTCAAAAATATCACACAAATCCCGTAAAAAATTGGAATAAATAATTTCAAAAAATCAATTAAAATTAAAACATTTTCTAAAAAAGAAAGCTGAAAGAAATTCACCACAAATAAATAAAATCGAAAAGAAAACTTTAAAAGATTATAGGAATTTGACAAAAAAATTTGAAATCTAAAATTTCTTTAAAGATTTACGAAAATTTGAATAAAATGCTTTAAAATTATAAAAAAGGAAAAAAATATAAAGAAAAAATGAGAAAATAAGAAAAAAAAGCTTTTGCGTTTAAAAATTAAAAAAAAAATTTATAAAAGAAAATAATTCAAAAATATCACACAAATCCCGTAAAAAGTTAGAATAAATAATCTCAAGAAGTCAATTAAAATTAAAATATTTTCTAAGAAAGAAAGCTGAAAGAAATTCACCACAAATAAAATTCGAAAAACTTTCGAAGGAATTTAAAAAATAAAAAATTTTAAAAAAAACAAATTTAAGAATATTTGGAAAAGAAATTCAAAAAATTTTTAAAAACCCAAGAAAATTTCCAAAAAATTTTAAAAAACGCGAAAAAAACGGTTAAAAAACGAAGTTTCGAAAAAATCGCCCTCCATCCGCCCGAAGATTTGCTAAAATACTGTATTTCTCGGCGCAATTTCATCATATTTTTTTCTTCAGCAACTAGTGAAAATATTATGAATAATCGTGGAGCGAGAATGTTAGAGAAATAAAAGAGCATGCTTAAGAAGAGGATTAGAGAAATTTTGTGGTTATAGAGAGAGTCGATGTAATTGATCGTTTTTTGTATGCAAGTGACGTCATGCGATTTTTTATCCAATCAATAAAGCTGTAAACAGCAAACTAATAAAATTTTTATTATATTTTTTTTGCTTCTTTTTTGTTTTTTATCTTTACTTACAGTTCATTTATTATTTTGCAATTACAATTATAAATAACAAATTGCGGGGTTTCAGTAAGTGAGTATTTCTCCTAACAGTTTTTGGAAAGGTGACAAGAGGTTCCAAATCCGTGGACCGTGGTTTCGCAAACAGTTTGNAAGAAAAAATGAGAAAATAAGAAACAAACGCTTTTGCGTTTAAAAATTAAAATAAAATAATTTAAAAATATCACACAAATCCCTTAAAAAAATTGGAATAAATAATTTCAAAAAATCAATTAAAATTAAAACATTTTCTAAAAAAGAAAGCTGAAAGAAATTCACCACAAATAAAATTCGAAAAACTTTAGAAGGAATTTAAAAAATAAAAAATTTTAAAAATTGTTTTTAAATTTGAGAATATTTGGAAAAGAAATCCAAAAAATTTTTAAAAACCCAAGAAAATTTCCAAAAAATTTCAAAAAATGTGGAAAAAATCGCCCTCCATCCGCCCGAAGATTTGCTAAAATACTGTATTTCTCGGCGCAATTTCATCATATTTTTTTCTTCAGCAACTAGTGAAAATATTATGAATAATCGTTGAGCGAGAATGTTAGAGAAATAAAAGAACATACTTAAGAAGAGGATTAGAGATATTTCGTGGTTATAGAGAGAGTCGATGTAATTGATCGTTTTTTGTATGCAAGTGACGTCATGCGATTTTTTATCCAATCAATAAAGCTGTAAACAGCAAACTAATAAAATTTTTATTATATTTTTTTTGCTTCTTTTTTGTTTTTTATCTTTACTTACAGTTCATTTATTATTTTGCAATTACAATTATAAATAACAAATTGCGGGGTTTCAGTAAGTGAGTATTTCTCCTAACAGTTTTTGGAAAGGTGACAAGAGGTTCCAAATCCGTGGACCGTGGTTTCGCAAACAGTTTGGCGAGTTTTTTAGGGTGCATTGGTAAGTTTTGCGATAGAGAGAGAATAGAAGAACGCATAATTTCAGGATGTTCAGTGTTAGTTTATCGTCGCAAAACGTGGGTGGTGAAGAGAGGAAATATCGGTGAATACCTCGCTTTAAGGAACTTGTTAAGGCTGTAAAGGCTTTTCATAATTTACCTTTGATAAAACATTATGGAATTTCGAATCGCTAGAGAATGAGCAAGATTGTTGCACCTATCAGCATTCCTGAAAATCCGTAAGCCTAATCCCTTCGCAGAACCGGTCAACACTCCTTTGACGTGCACCACTGGGATTCAACTAAATCTCCTAAAAATCGCGTTATTTCTAAAAACTGCATATGGTTTCAATTTTGTGGTACTTTTCATTAGTCAAACTTGGGTTAAAATCTCGACTGAACTCCGTCTCGTGTGAATACAACTTTCTAAAAGAGGCTTTCTTTTTGCAGACAATGATAGAGGCTTATAATAATGGTAAAACAGGTAGAGTCTTTTTTCTTTTTGGATGAAATAAGGATTGGCACTTGCTAGTTTGATGAAAAGAGACACACTCGGTGTTAGCCAAAGATTGCCCGAAAAGAATTGCTTTTGTTTAATTTCAATGTATTTTAATGTTTTAATGAATGCAATTCAGTGAATATGCACGAATCAGCTGATAAATTCTGTGATAAGGAAGGATTAATGATATATTTATCAGTTATAAAGTAATGAAGAAATGCATAATTTTATTTTTTGATGACAGCTATTATTAAATTTTTTTAAATTTTTGTGGAATTATTCCTCATGAATTTGTAATTATTTTGGAAAAAGAATAAAAATCAAATAACGAAAGTTGAAATTTGCAGAATGTGAACCATTTCAATTAGTTTCGGGGAGATTTATTCAAATAGCTTATAGGTTCAAAATCATTCTTTTCTGCGGTTTTCTATTTTATCAGAATTTGTGAAAATAAAGGTGTTTTTTTTAGGCTCACGTATATCCTCTGAAATTTGTCAAAAAGGTTGGGGTTGCATCGTTGCTCATTTTTCGCTTGCCTACAGCTTCCAACAATATTTGACATGATTGCAGAACCTATTGAACTGTTACAATCACAAGGTTGTTTCACATATATTTGAGGATGGGATGGTTCAGTGGGTTGTTGCTCAATTGACAGCACCGATGCTGAGGTTCGATTCTCCGCAGGAGTATAAACCTATATATAAATCCGGTCGATGCTGGCGACTTACCTGTATTTCTATCCATGGCATATTGCCCAATACGACAAGACAGTGGAGCGAGTTTAATCAGTAATGGTGAGGACTCTTTAAACCTCTGAAAAAATATTTAGTTGACATTATTATTTTCCATTTCACAAACATTAACTTACTTGGATCTTGCCTGGACAATCCGACCGTCGGTATTCTAAAGGTTTGCAACAATGCGGCAAGCTATATTCATATAATATAATATAAGTTAATATAATATAAGTTCAGCATTATTATCGCTGATACATGGACATACATGAAAAAATGGGGTAATATGATAATCTTTACTTGCTTGTTCTGTAATCTGTTTTTTTTCTGTATAAGCCAGTATTAAGCATGTGATAAGGAATACATTTTTTTCAACTGAATATTTTTTCAAAAAATATTCGCCTTGTAGAATCTGTTTTTTATTGAGCGTTGTGAACAGCTAATGTAATTTTCTCTTTATTATTTTTAGAACTGTCGTTCTATTTTTTTGTGGCGATGAAGACCATCAAAAAAGCGCCTTTTCAAGGTCGAATGCCAGGAACTAGCAAACGATTTCAATGATGCTAAATTTGAGAACTTCAAGCAGAAATATTCGTGATAGGGAAAAGACCGGTAAAACGTCGTTTTAATCGTCGATTTACAAAAAAAATAATTCTTTAATGAGAAAAAATATTTAAATTATTTTTTCTTGAATTTTATTTTAGGGAATCGCAAAATAAAATATGGGAAAGGTAGAAGAGATCCGTGCGAATCAGAAGCGGCCAAGCAGCAAAGGTTAGAAGAATGATTATCCTATTTTTTGATAAGATATGTACGATATGTAATTTATCAGTTTTTGTAAATATTTTATGCTCGTGCAAACTAATATAAATATTCGATTCCAATTTGATTTATCGATTTAAAGATATAAATAGGAATTACCTGGAGAAGGAATTTTGCTGTATGGGACTCAGCTGAATCTGATTTTGCCTGGCCATTGAGATCGAAATTGTAGATCATTTTTATTTATTTTTTAAGTTTATCTTTTTTATCTTATATCTTTTATCTTATTTTATTTTTAGACTTTCCGCAAAATTATTTCAATTTGGTTTGGTCGTTCTATAATGGAATACTCGCAGAAGAATCAAATTTTTTGGTTTTGACTATAGTTGCGAAACAAATAAAGAACTTTTTTCACCTGCTTGAAAAATATGGCGAATTCACCTTAGAAAATGCGTCAAATTTATTTTTGTGCGGCAATTGTGACCACCTTATGCGACGCTCTATGGCTACGCCGTTAATGCATATAGCATTCGAATATAGGTAATCGTATGATAGTTTAAGTATTCAGTTGCTAATATGAACTAAAGTATTCGAATATTAATTTTTTGAACTTTTCTGATTTTGCATGCACTTTAATTTAAATAAAGTATGTTAAAACTTTGAATCTGCTGTTTCACAGCATATTTGAAATAAATATTTGTTAATAAAATAATAAATACGAGAAAAAATGAATTAAAGTCACAGATCATAGTTTTCACAGCTGAGTATAGGTCCATTGTGATCCATCCGAAGTATTGGACACGAAGAAATCTTCAAGCGTGCCCTGGATATTTTTGAAAGTGTCGTCCCACTATTCACTGATTCCAGCAGCAAACGGCAGTTCAGAGTTCGACTGAGGTACAGCAATTGTTTTAAGTGCTTGCTGGTTATTTCTTTTTCTTCTTACATCTTCTAAATCAACTATATAGTTAAGAAATAATTTCACTTCGTACTTTTGATAAGTATATTCTTTAAATAATGAATGATTTAAAAAATCATAATAATGTCGTATACGAAAAATCAAGAAGAAAAATCATTGTTCTTTTCGAGCAATCGTTAAAAATGAGTCTCTACCACTTCAACATTTTGATTAGCCTTATAAATTTATAATTTAATTCCCGTTTTAGTACAAAAATGTTCTTATAAGTAAGGGAAATGATAAGGAAATAGTAATTGATAGATGGATGATAAGGCGATGCGATTCATATAATTTATGACCAACTTTTCTATGTTATATTATGTTGGTATTCATTTTTTTCATTGGCATTATTAATTGTTAATTGTTAATTTTTCAATTCATTTAATGATTTCATCAATTTATAATTTTATAATTATATAATTTTATAATTTTATGGTGATAAAAAATTTATTACAGTTTATTGATTCAAATATTAAATATTATTATTGAATATTAATATTCAATATTAATAATAATAACATTAATATTATTAATATTATTATTAAAATAAGGTATAATTTGAAATAATTTTCAACCGTATAGTATCGAATTTTATAAATAATTTAGATGAAATCATTCATGATCTCGCATAATCCAAGACTTATTTGTCTCTTGACCTCAGCTTTTTGGCATTTTATCACTTATTACATATTTCTTTATATCAAATTTTACTAGTGTTACTTATTTCCATTATATGTGACCGACCATTGGTAAACCGATTCTTTATTTAAACTTTATCTTCTTTCACCGTTAAACCGCATTCCCACAGTCAAACACTTTTGTAATTGGCAAAATTTGCACCTTTTATGTGTTTCATGTGTGATATTCAGAGGGCATTTTTGCATCTGCAATAATAATTGGTGCTGCTCTTAGATCTGCGAAAGAAGCACTAAATTTAATAAAATATTACTTTTGTATTTAACGATAATTGAATAAGCTGAATTTGTGAGTTAAAATAAATATTTTATCATTCGTAATTATGAGAAAAAGTCGCGAGAAAAGAAATAAAATACCTTGCTCGCAAGTTGTTGCTGCATAGTGATAACCAGTTGCTCTGTCCCCGCAGACGGGAAAACTTCCCTCGTCTTGGGCCTTTTCTCCGCAATCTCGATGACCTCTAAATAATGGCACAATTTTAAATGAGAAGTGAAACCTAGTATCGCGAAATTTTCTCGATGATATGAAGGGGATCCTCAGGTTATTTCCCGATATTTCTCATTTTCTCAAAAATATAATTAAAAAATCTCACTGGTCATGATGAAACTTTTTCCTGAATTTAGCGTATAAAGAAAGAAAGCTGCCTTCCCATATTATATTGTTTCCACTGTTCTCCGAAGTGCTTTGAATCGTTCCGGCTACAATCCCATTGGAATAGAGAGATTGGCCCGGAATTTGCCAAATTTTAAATTGCGAAGTGCCCAATGCTTTTTCGCAAATCATTAATGCATCGCATATTCTTTCCATTATAAATTTCTGAAAAAAAATATGTTAAAACTTACAGATGACAGCATAAAATTGTTCAGCATAAAAATTATAAAGGCTCATTGATAATCTGTACTGATGCATGAAAATTCTTCCAAAGCCTTATCAATTGTCCTTATAATACATCCAAAACCCCCGCTGTTCCACAGTTTTATTAATGGCATCGTGTTAAATATATTCCTCCCGTTGTCCATCTCTCATGGTCATCGAAATTTTTTTTAATCGCACCTTCGGTTAAGGTCCATTCAAAATCTCATCTGACCACGTTAATTCCGGTCTTCTTTGAGCGTTTTTGCCTTCGGCAATTGAACCTGGCAAGCTGAGAGATTTTTTTTATACCGCGGTGAGCGATTTTTATAGGCAACACTCTATTGCGACACCACTGAATTTTCAGAAATTTTTTATTTGGTTAGTTATAAATATATAATTTGCTGTTCTGCACGATGTTATTATTCACAGCATACTTCCAGTGGCTACTACAAATCTATTTTCCAACCTGTAAAACTTCATTCTGCTACTAATCGCTACCATCCAACAGCAACAATAATCTTGGTTCTAGCGAATACCGTATGCCAAATTTTTTCTTCTCTCTTAAAACATTTACCACACCATTTTCAGTTAACCTGGTATCGACTACAAAATTAAGTTGTTTTCATGGCAACCACTCCGAAAGTAATCGAAGCCACCTACATTATCCATTTATCGGTAAGTCTCTTTTGTACCCAAAACCTTTTCTACCAATGTAGTTCATGTTTGCGATTCGTGGTTTTTGGTGTTTTATGCAAAATATGAGTAAATGCTAGTGATGAGCGTCAATTATGACTATATGTGACTCTCTAACACCCTTGATGCATTGATATTTGATGTGTATATTCCTAAAATATTATAGCTGATAGTGGTTAAGATCAACGCAGGAATAGTTTGGATAGTGAGCATAAAAATTTCCATCTCCGCAGAATTTGTCGCTTTACGAAAAACGCAGAGAATATTATTAGACTATGAACTTATAGAAGAATTCAATGATTTGAAGAGATTATACTGTTTTGAAAAAATTTTTAAGATTACTACAACATTCATTTAAATCACGTAATATTCGTGTAATTTTATAAGATTTTCCATGTAATATTTACGTATACTTCTTTTTACTTTTTCCATTATTTACCAAAATATTTCATGAAGAATTTTTATTAATTTTTATTTTTTAATCATCAATATAGCATCAATTTTTATTTTTTCGTTCCATAATTTTTCAAACGGTCGTTTCAGACGAAAGCGTTTGAAAAGTCGATTGGTCGAAATTTGAGTTGCATAAATGCAAAACGAAAGAAATTTTAAAGGTTCATTCATCAATTTTAATAGTGTTAAAAAACGGCTGCAATATTCTTTACGAAAATTTGATAATTTGGAAAAGTTTACGGCCATATTATTAGGGGAATATCGTTTTAAAAAATGCAACAAAATGAAACATTAAATGTACATAATGGAACGTCGAAAAATTTTAAGCGAACTAAGAGAATTTGAGAAAATTATTGGTGATTGTAGAGGAGGACAACGAATTTACTCCACAAAATTTATTTTCTCTTATTTTAAAAAAAAATTTTTTAAAATTCGTTACATTGCTTTATTATGCTACTAATCCAGGAATTATTCGAAATTCTATTAATGAAATTACTTCATTCAAATAAAAAATTCGATCAATTCAATTAATTATTTTTCCTATTTTTACTCTTCAATTATAAAAAAAATATTCCCTTTTTTTCTGAATTGAAGAAAAAATTTTCTGAACATTTTTTTATTCATTAATTTGAAATTTGATTTCATTCAATCGAATTTTTTTAGCTTTATTGTTTGATTTTAAATTGGCCTTTTTGAAAAGAACGTGAAAAAAAAATTGGTGAAATTTTGCATAATATTACGTGGACGAAAAAAGAAGAGCACCATTGGCAATGGAAACGAACGTATTAACAATAATATTAATGCCTAAGGCAGTGTTCAGTTTCACTTCATATTCATTAATGAATAAATAAAGCTCATCGAAAAGAAAGGTAATTCTTTATCACTAATAACTGATAAATTACTGAGTAACAAATTCAATAAATTTAAATATAGAAAAATTGTTCAGAAAATTTCTTTTTTTGCTCAATCCTGAAAATGTTGCCAAAAAAAAGTCTTTTTTTGGAAACCTTTACAAGGCATTAAAATCAACTAATAAAATTGTCGTAAATTAGTTGTCGCTGTTATGCCGCTTTATGTTTCCGATTATCGCTATTTTGTCGCTCTATTTAAACGGCATTAATTCGATTAATACTTTGATCACTTATTCAGTAATAATATTCACTGAAATATATGAATATTTGAACAATCTTCCGGCTTTTCGACAATTTTCTGGTTATATTGTCGATCTTCTTCGATTGCACGCAGAAATCAACAAATTTGTTCGTTGAAATAGGATTGTCAATTCTTTCTAAGATATTCAATGCACAAAAACTTAAAAAATATTACATTTTGCACATAAATTTCTCCATTTACGCAAAATTTGTCGTTTTAAAATATTTTAAAATAAAGAATATTATTGCTCTGTTTTCGCAATTTAATAGTTCTCATGAAATTCAAATCTTTTCTTGCAAAGATGTATAACAAGTAACATAGTACATCGTATTTATACGTGAAATATGTTCTTAAAATATGTTTGGAAACGTTAAACTGCTTCCAAATATCATCGTATCAGGCAACATTATCGTTTCCGTTTAACAATTCGATCATCGCGTGTTCAGTGCAAAAATCGCAAAAGAAAAGCCTCTAAATTTAAATCTATCATAGAACCATTAGCTTTTGCATTTATTAATTTCCAAATTTTTTAAAAGAATATTAATATATATAAATTATTTAATCAAAAATTTAATATAGTATGATTTTTTTGATTTTAATGATTTACTAGTAATTAATATGGAAAATTATCTTTGTTTTCTATAATCTTATTCAATTTTAAGAGTCCTCACCATTACTGGTTGAATTCGCTCCACTGGATTGTCTCATTGAGCAATATGCTAGGGAGTCCCCAAGTCCCTTACTCAATTAATCCTTACGAGTTTGAATATCACTTTAAGCATTGGTATTTATTATATTTTTATTATACTATATTATATTATTGTAATAAAAATAAGTTATAATAAAATGTTTTTAAATGAAAATAATAAATTGGAATGATCGAAATTTTGATTCCAATTATTTATATTCTATTAACAATTTTGCAACATTTTACAAAAAAAAAATTAACGGTTTTTTTGATATCTGAGGAATAGTTTAACGAATTTTCAAATCTTTAAATATTTAAATATAAAGAATTAAAATATAAAGAATATAAATATAAAGAATTAAATATAAATATAAATTAAATATAAAGAATTAAAAAAATAATTGAATTAATCGAACTTTTATTTCAAAGAGAAGAATTGTTAGCTGCCAAAAATCGAAATGAATTAATGTGGAGAATTTTAGGAAGATTTTAGGAAAATAGGAAGGAATTTGTTAATTTTTTTCAGCATACACACATAAATTTTTATTTTTAAGTGATATTTATTAAATTATTTCATAGTTTCTTTAAAAAGGTTTATTAAAGGTTTAAAAAGATTTAAAGGTTTATTTTTATCAGCAGTTTATCAGCAGTTTATGGTTACTCCATTTTGAAATGAGTCATGGCAAGTTAATCTTATTGTTCTGATTGTTGTAATCTTCTAGGCTTCTCTTCTGAAAATGGCGTTCTTTTCCTAAAATATATGTTGAAACATTCACCTTTTGCGAAAATTATTCTCTTTGGAACAAATATCTAATATGCAACTATACAATTTGAAAGCATGAAACATTGAAATAAATTTTCATTCTCAAAATTTTCAACAATACGTTTGCCGAAATCTAAAATGGATTCTGAAGATCTTTGCTGATAATATTTTATCATTAAACATTTCGCCGTTTGATGAGAATATTAATAATAGTCATTAAATAAATATAAGCGACATTCGAAATTTATTTCAATATTTTAGCTGATTTTTTAAAATAATGTAATGTAATAATGTAAATTAGAATTTAAATTAGAATTTGGAGTAAAATAGAACGAAATAATAAGAGATTTAAAGCAAATAGTACAATATTTGATAAATATAAAAACACCGATAGATCAAAATGAAAGTTTTCAAAATTCGTATTGTATACATATTTCATAAAGTATAAATTAAATTAAAAATTTAAAAAAAAAAACGGTTTTCTCAATTCTATTCATATAAGAATTTTTAAACAAGATTTTAGAGGATTTTAAAACGAAGCAAATAATTTGCGAGCATTATATCTTTTAGATAATTTCGCAGCATCTCATTTGACCTCAAAAACAATGATAAAATTAAATATATTAAAATAAATTAAATATATTTATTGTAATTCTTACAATTTTTGCGGCCCTTCAACGTAAAATAACGCCAATAAAATTTTGTTATAAAATTTTTTTTAATTATAAAAAAAATTATTTTTAACAGCGCAGTATTTTTTAAAAGTGTTTAAAAATTTATGATTGCATTTTTTTTTTCGATAATTTGATTAAATTTATTTACTAAATTCATTGCGTATTAATCTTTTAAAATTATGCTTTAATTAATTTTTCAAATTAATTAAATCTGCAATTTTAGATTTAATTTTAGATTTATTCCATGAATATTGTTAACTATTCTTTTTTTCATTTTTGATGCTAATAGATTTTTAATGCGTCTCGAAAAATTTTGGTTTTATAGAGTTTGGTTTTATATATAGCTTTTGCTAATATTCTTAAAAAAAGATTTTACTAAAATTAGAAGAATTAATTTTTTTTATTATGAAAAACTAAAATAAATGGAAATTAATAGGTTATAATTAGAGAATTTTCTCATTTTTTATTAAACAATTAGTGATTTCGTCAGATTACCGAGTAAACGTAAGCAAATATGTGTTAAATAGTC